CACCAGTGCCTGAAGGGCGGACGGGCTTCCCGGCACGTCTTGCGTCAGGGACAGGACGCGCTGGGGACTCCCCTTTGCCCGTGGCCGCCTGATGTGGACCCAGACACCAGCAGAACACACGCAGGGCCATCAGGTGGGCACTTTCAGCCTCAGTGCTGGCTCCTAGCTCCGTGCAGGGTCTCCCCCTTTTCCGTCCTGTACGCATCCTGCCCGGCTGCGCAGATCCCTTCGGGAACAGGTGGGAACCTGTTCAACAGGAACCCTGAGCTTCCTAGCTTCCTTCCTTCCTTCCTTCCTTCCCTCCCTCCCTCCTTCCTTCCTTCCTGGAGTGAATCCAAGGGCACCTGACCACTGAGCCCCATCCCCAGCCCTATTTTGTACTTTATTTAGAGACAGGGTCTCACTGAGTTGCTCAGCACCTTGTCATTGCTGAGGCTGGCTTTGAACCTCTGATCCTCCTGCCTCAGCCTCCAGAGCCTCTGGGATTACAGACGTGTGCCCCGTGCGGCTGCCTCCTCTGTCCCCGGCCTCGTTAGCAGACCACATGGCTGTGTGGCAGCCCCAGCGCCTCACCCTGTAGCCTGTCCTGGGCCTGCAGTGTTGGCAGGGGAGGTGGCCCGGGCAACCTCGGCGATGACTTATGGTGTTTCTAAATTCCAGGGGGACGAGGAAGCACAGGAAGGAGAACTCCTTTCCTAAATGGTCAGAAGTGATCCCAGAACTCCTGGCCCAGGAGGTCAGGCCACCAAGGAGACAGGCGGAGTGAAAAGGGCTGCGGGTCCGTGGGAGCCCAGGCCCCTCCTGGGCACTCTGCGCACAGTGGGACCAGCTCGTACAGGAGGAGGGAGCCAGGGAGGGCCCTTGTGCTGTGCAGGAAGAAGAAGCAGAGTCCACAAGAGCAGCAGGTGGGAAGAGGCGGCTGAGGAAGACAAGACACAGCCCAGGGAGGCCCGGGGCCCAGCGCGGCTACTCCCCAGCTGGTCACCACGTCCCACGGCCGCCAGGCCTCAGTTCCCTCTCCCGTGCATTGGATAGAGTAATCGGTGCTGCAGGAGCACCGCAGGATCACGTGTGATGGTGGCAGACCCAGACGCGTAGAAAGTGCTCAATACACATTAACACCAAGGCTCCCCATGGTCACCGTCACTGCTCCCACCGGAGGGAGGTGTCCAGATTGCTGAGGGGCTGGCACAGGAATGGGTCTGATGCATGGTGCCAGGGCTTGTGAAGCCAAGCAGAAGGTCAAGACAAGATAACGCAAGGAGGGCTGGGGACAGGGTGTGACCCATGAGTGCAGTTTCTGTGGGACGTGCATTTCCCAGATCCCAGCCTCAGTCAGGCCACGGCTCAGCCCCTGCTCCTTCCTCCACGGCCCGTCACCCGGGCAGGCAGAGCTGCTCCTGAGGCCTGCAGTCCCCAGCGGGGCCGGGACGCTGGCTTCCAGCACAGACGTGACACATACTCGCACGGTCCCAGCCTCTGCCTTCTCGGGTCATTTTGAGCATCTGTTCTCGGCAGGCCTTCAGTGTCCCTTGCCTCTCAGGTCACAAAGGTCAAAGCCTCCTTATGCTCCTGCCTGCCACCCCCCACCCCCCATGAGTTTGCTGTACCCAATCTCTGCCGTTACTGTAACAAAATGCACACACAGTCCCCGAAAGCAACACAGCATTATTCTCCTACAGCTCTGGAGGCCGGGGGTCTCAAAGAAGGTGTGGGTAGCTGCACCTTACGAGAGGCTCCAGGAGAGCAGCTGCCTGGCTCCATTCCTTCTCCAGCCTCTACAGGCCCTGCCTCCCCTGCCCCTGGCTCCCTCCTCCACCTTCAAGGCCAGCAGGACCATCTTCTAATCTCTCTCTGCCTCCGATCTCCTTGCAGACAGGCCAGGAGACACCCCGTCTCAAGATGTCACTCAGTCACACCTGCCAACTCCTTTCGCCGTATAAGTTGACGTATTCACAGGTTCCAGGGTTAGGCATGGACTCTTTGCGGGGTCATTATCTGGCCTACTCCACCTCCCTCCCTCCCCCTGCTCCAGTCCTCTGCGCTGTCCCTCCAGTGGCAGGAAGATGCTGACCCACCCCTCCCCTGTCCAGCAGGTCCACTGTAAAAGCCCAGGGAGAGGCTTCCCCCTGTGTCGCCCTTTCTCATGCAGAGCACCTGCTGGCTTCTGAGGGACAGTGGTGCCACCTCTCCCAGCTCACACCGCCCTGGCCCCAGCCTGACTCTCATATCTCTGTCCCCCAGTTCTGATCTCCTCTCCCCCAGGCTTCTGAGAAGAGATGATTCTGGTCACCTCCACGCTAACCAGGGTCCACCCACGACTCCCCTGCTGGTCCTGCAGATAACTCCACTGGAGGGGAGGTGACTGTCCCTGCTGCCAACTGTTTGCCACGGAGGCCCACCTTCTAGGAGGGTGCCCGGGTGGACGTCCCCGCTGCTCTCGCTAAATGCACCGCTGACCGCGCTGTGCAGACCCAGAGAACGCTTCTCAGCCCTTCTCACTGTGGCTTCCAGGCAGAATTCGACGCCGTTGGCCACTGTGGTCCTCATGAACCTCGATTCCCCCTGGACTTCCGGGACACCTGCCCTCCCAGTCCCCTCCTCCCTCTCAGGCCACTCTTAGTCCATCTTCTCAGACTCCAGCTCCCTGGAACTCAAGGTGGCAGTTCCCCAGAGTGGAGTCCCAGGCCCCTCCACCTCTGTCGGCCCCTCAGGGCTGCCCTCGTGCCCCACACCCCACAGACCACCTGTGAACAGGGGACTCGCAGGTGACACCCCAACCTCCTCTCCATATGCCTACTGGACATCGGCAGGTGGACATCTTGGCGAGACTCCAAACCCAAGTCCAAAACCGAACCACCATCTTCCCCAGCCCCTCCTCCTCCGGCACCCCCATTTTGCACCTGCAGTGACCTGTTGGAGGGGGACCCCCTTGACTCTCCCGCTCCCCACAGAGATCGGCTGGGGACAGAGTTCCCAGTCCTTTCACTTGTCTTCTCATCTCCGCCCACAGAGAGGAGCCGGTCTGGGGGCTGAAACCCAGGGTGCCCCAGCCACGTCCCAGTCCTTTTCATTTACTTTGAAACAGGGTCTTGCTAAGTTGGTTAGAGACTTGCTAAGTTGCTGAGGCTGGCCTTGAACTTCAATCTTCCTGCCTCAGCCTCCCCGGGAGACTTCATTCCTGACCACTGCTCCACCCTCTGCACCCAATCAGTTCTCCAGGCTGCAGCCACAGTTGCCTTTTCAAACATAAACGTGCTCAGGTCACTCTTCTTACCCCCAACTTCAAACAAAATGAAGGCTTCTCACTGTCTTTAAAGAGCAAGCAGACTCATTTGGTCCACTGGGCCCCACTGGGTCAATTTCCTTCCCTCCTCTAGGTCTCTGTGTTTGCCGCTCTCCAGGAACAACTAACCAGTTGCTTGAATATACTGCCCTCTCCTCCTGCCCCGGGGCCTTTGTGCATGCCACTCCAGCCATCTGATGCCCCTCCCCAGCCCTCACTTGGAAGCCATTCTCTTCCTTCAGTCGCAGCTCAGGAAGCCTTGTCTGATCTCTGGCCATGCTAATTCCCCAGGCTGTTCACTTTCTCTGGGCCCCACTATCTCACCATTAGCTATCAGATTTGGAATTTTATGCGTATTTATCGTGTTCTTCAATTAATTCCATCTCCTGCACAGTGAGCTCCATGAGGACAGGGCTATGCCTGACCTGGCCCACCACTGTGTTCACAGGGCCAGCCAGGCTGGGCATGGAGAAGACGCTCAGAAGAGAAGCGTTCAAATGGTGAGCCGGCTTGCTGTCTCCTCGCCGGCCCTTCTCCCGTAGCTGCTCTCCCGTAGCTGTTCAGTGGCTCAGGTTTGACTCAGTCTTGGAAACTCCTCTTCCTCCTTTCACATCCCCCCACCAACAAATCCCAGGGACTCTCCCTCCCAAATCTCTTTCAAATAACCCCACCTCTAGCACCCAAGCTCAAGGTGCCACCTAGTTTTTACAGAAACCCTGCCCCCGTCTCCTAGCGGGAACCTGGAGTCCACAGCCTAGGGCACCTCTCTGCCTGGCCACACAGTGGAGCCCTGGCCTGGGGATGCAGGTCGCTCCCTGGCTCAGGCACACTGGCCCGGCCGCCCTGCCTGCTGACTTTCTGCCACTCTGGTCCTCAGCCATCGCTGCCTCTGCTCAGGCTGCTCTCGCCGCCTCATGAGCATCTCTGCTCACTCGGAGCACTTTCTCACCCCCTCCAAGACTGACCGCCACGGGTTCTTCAAGTTCCCACCGCATCTAGGTCAAGAACAACAATAACAGCAGCCGGTATTGGGCCAGCGTGACCTAAGGCACTGCACCACGACCCGTTCCTCTTCAGCGAGGCTGTTATCAACCTCAGACTGAAACGGTCTCAGAGAAGTCCATGACTCGTCCAAGGTCACACTGGAGGGTAAACAGCGAAGCTGGCTGACATGACGAACCGGGGCTCCAGGCCCCAAGGTCTTGGGGACTATGAGCATGCATGGCCCTCTGTGCTGTGTTCCCAGAGCGCCCTGCATTCCCCTTTAGGTCACAGTGGTCACACGTACACAGTGCATTGACTCCATGCGCGCCTCCAGCGCTGGCCCTGCCCTCACGTGACTGCCTTCTAAGATGAACATCGTGCTCTGCATCCCCTCAGTCCCCAGGTCCGTGTGGAAGAGGGGTGGCTGAGCCTTTTGTAAATGCCACCGAATGGCCTGACAGGCACGCACGTGAGGACTTGTAGGAACACTGCCCTCAGCTCTGGCCGACGACTTCCTGCTCTGCTTATGACCGCCAGGTGGGCTCTCTCAGGATGGCCCTTGGAAAGCGAGGAACACAGCCACTGGGTTGGGGATGGGGACAGCATCCATCATCCGCATGTCCAGTGGCACATGCAGAAAAGCCCTTGGGCCAGCATATGGCGCCCCCTGCTGGTTTCCTTCCATGTCCCTCGACAACCTCTCCCGCTGAACAGCCCAGGGGACACTCACCAGCCATGAGAAGAAGCCCGCCGATTTGTCCTGAGTGGAGATCTGCCCCTCATAGGGGCCAAAGATGTGGCCCTTGGGTATGACCTCACTTATGCACCGCACATCGCTCTGTCCGCTGGCTTCCTTGACCACCTCCATGCCCTGCGGGATGGTGAGGGCAGCCCGGTCCGGGATGCCCACGGGCACCGGTGTGTCTGACACAAATACGGGGGGACCATGGTTGGGGCACTCGTCCACAAAGTACTCCTGGCAGGACTCGCAGACTGCAGGAATGGAAAGAGGAGGAAGGGTCTCAGTGGTGGTGGGGAGATAGGACCCCTAGGGAGGAGGCCGAGGGCTGAGAGGAGGCCACCCAAGGACAGTGCAGGCAGCAGAGAGCACAGTGCATTGACTCCCAGCCACAGGCCCCAGGGTCATCAGGACAGTCACCCAGTGCAATACCTGGTTACCCTCCCGAGGCCTCCAAGATGAAGCCGCCAACTCAAGGGAGCCACTAGTTCCTTTTGTCTCAAGTTTGAAAAAGGAGGAGAGAGCATGGCTTCAGAGCCTGATGGCTCTGAACTGCGACTGTCCATCTGTGAGCCGTGGGACCCGGCACTGGGCACTTAGCTCTTGGCAAGCCTCAGGGTCCTCACCTGGAAGATGGGGCCAACCACAGCCCCCTCTGCAGCTATCGATGAGGACCACCGGAGCATGGACCAGTGCCTGGTCCACGGGGCACAGGTGGACTTCACTAGTACTCCTGCTGCACGTCCCCAGCCCAGGAGAGGGGGTGGGGGGAGGGAGGTGCAGGCCAGGGCCGCGAGCCCCACTTACACCAGAAGTCAACTTGCTGGAAGCTCTTGGGCACCATGAGGTCTCGCTTCCCCTTCAGTTTCTTGGGCTCGACTTCCATGGCCGAAGGCTCGGGTCTCCTAGAGCTGCCCAGGACAAGGGTCAGACAAAGAAAGCAAAGCAGCCGTCAGAGTGAGAGTCTGACAGGGAGAGGACGGGGACCCGGCCAGGAGGTCCAGGGGACACGGGTGGGCATAGAAGCCCCAGGTGGCCTGCTGTTCCTGGGCCACTGCTCAAGCCCTTCTAGAGCCTGCGCTCACCCCTGACCCCAGAAGCTGCCCCAGCAAGGTTAAGGAAGGTGGGCAGGGTCCCCAGCCCACCCAGTCCAGCCACCCTCCTGCCCGCTCTGGGTCCCCACACAGGCCTCACCAGGGCTGGCCATACTCCTGGTCGCGGAGGGGCGAGCAGACCTCTGTCTTCACCACTGTCACCATGTCCCCCACAGCCGCCTTGGTCTGGGCCAAGCACTCCTTCATGTTCTCAGTCATTCTGTCCTGGGACGCAGGAGCAGGAGCAGGCCAGGAAGAGGATCAAAGAAAGGGGGAAGAGGGGTGAGTGGCGCAGAGGGCAAGCAGGGGTCCCGCGGAGTCTGGTTACCCGCCTGCCATCCCAGAGGAAGCTCAGAACACAGACAACAAAAACAGCTGCAGCCCGGCCAAGAGGAAATGCCATTTCTATCCCGGGCTGGTCCTGGGGACGACTGGAGCCACCAGCCCCATGGGGTCAGGCACCAGGGGCAGCTCAGGCCAGGGCAGGCCTGGGAAGCACAGCCGGGACCCCAAGACCAACGGGCAAAGGACACGAGGAACCCACATGGGCTTGGGGACAACTCTGCGCAGGGGCTCAAGGAGGGAACAACTCAAGTCCAACTGTGGCCAAGGGGGTGGGCGGGACGATACGGGCCCTCAGTGCCTGGCGCGTGAGGGGCTGCCCGAGCGGCCAGGCCGGGTGCCAGCTCCGGCAGGTACCGGCGGGCGGCGGCCACTCAAGCCCCACCCCCAGGGGCGTCCTCCACCGCTTACCGCCCTGCACCAGCGCCGGGCTTCGGCCGTCCCTCGGCACCCCGGGGTCCTCATGCCAGGCCCGGGGACACTCTTCGGGCCGGGACAGCGCGGCTGGGGCTGGGGCGGCGCGGGGCCCGGGCTGGGCGAGCGGCGTGTGACTCACCACCCGGGGCCCCGCTGGCCACTCCCCTGCTCCTCGCTCACCAGCCCGCTCCCCACCGGGGCCCCAGAGCCGCGGGCGGGAGGGTGTGGGGAACGCGGCCGGCCCCCTCCTCCAGCCGGCGGGGCCGGGGGCGCGCGGCGGGGACCTGGCTGGGGCCGCCCCGCCCCCGGCCCGGGCACCCGCCCCCGGCGCCCGCGTGAGTGGGCGCGGGCCGGGCGGCGGGCAGCGGGCGGCTCACCCACCTTCCCCGCGGGGCGCTCCCGGCCCGGCCCTGCCCAGCGCCGCCCCGCCGCCCTGCGCCCGGCATTCCTTGCGGGGGCATGTGGCTTCTTGCCGGCCCCGGGGGCACGCAGTTGGCTGGCGGCCGGCGGGGAGGGGGGCGGCGGGGAGGGATCCTGCGCCTCCCGGCCTCGGCCCCACTGCCGCGGCGCTGGGGCTCGGGCGGGCGTCTAGTGGGTGGCAGCGCCCCAGAGGCCGGGCGAGGGCGCAGGGCCCTGAAAGGCGCCCCGCAGCCTCGGAGCCCACCCGGCCTGCGCCGCCCCGGGGGGTGCGGGGGAGCCCCGCGCCTGCGGCTGGCCGGCTTCCGCGCTGGGCACCTCGCCCACCCCACAGCCCTTGGATCCCCGTGAGAGGGCAGGGTCGCAGGTCAGCGGGGCAGGAGCCGGGGCTGCAAGATGGCAAGAGACTTGCCCAAGGTCACGCAGACCAGTCCTGATGAAGTCTGCCCTGGAGGCTGGGGCGCAGCTCAGAACACGAGAAGGGGAACCCCTCTCCTTCCATGGTCATGTTCAGGCCCTGGGTGTGTCCAGGCCGTGTCCTCAGCCTCGTCCTTTTGTGGAATGATCACTGGGATCACCCAGTGGTGGGTTTGGGCCTTAGCTCATGGGCCAGCGCCACATGGGGGCAAGGTGCTGTGGATTTGCAAAGCTGAGGAGCAGGTCTCCCTTGGAGGAGCAATGGTCACACACAAGCCATCAAAGGCAGTGGATCCTGGTAATTAGCAACCCAGGCTCTGGAGAGGAGCAGCCCCAGTTCCCGACAGACCTACAAAGCTACTGTGTGCCCTGGGCAAGTGTCAGAGGTGGAATGTTTGAGCCCCACCCTACTCCACCACCCATTCCTATGTTGAAACCCTAAGCCCCATTGTGACTATATATGGAATAGCACTGTGGGGAGGTGACAAGATGAAGTGAGGTCTTGAGGGTCAGGTGTCCTAAGAGGAAGGGGTCCCGAGTTGTCTCCATGGTGTGACACATAGCCTGAAGAGGGCCCTCTGCTGGGTGGAGAGCATCACCTGGAGCTGGGTGGCCTGGCCCTTGACTTTGGACTTCCCAGCTCCAGAACTGTGAGAAATCAGTGTGTCATTTAAGCTGTGATAGTCTGCTGTGGCAGCTTGAGCTGACGGACACAGCAAGATGTCTAAACTCTGTGCTCCCATTTCTTCATCTGGAAAATGTGGCTAATAATAGATTCCATCCCAGAAGCTCTGTATGACATGGACGGAGTTTAGGGAGTGGGCACAGTCCTCGCGTCCCGCACAGAAAGGCAATAAGGAGGATGGAGAGGAGCAGCCCCACGAAGGGGTGGCTTGGAATCCTCTCCACTGGACTGTAGGTCCACCGCCTGCAAACTTGGGCACTTTATTAGAACCGCGTCTCAGGACTAATTTGCATGGGGGTCCCCTCCCCTGGCCCGGGTGCCTCCACCAAGACCACCTGCACGCCATGCTCAATCCCATCACAAGGCCTATGACCTGGCTGGGTCCCCATCTGTCCTTCAGCCCTCCCCTCATGATACCCTCTACTGGCCCCAAGTCACACTTCATGGCACTTGTCACATTTACAAAGGTCCTCTACTGGCACATCACGTTTCCTATAATAGGCAGAGCTCCCCGAGGACAGAGGCTCTTTGCTGACCACTGGCTTCTCAGCACCTGTTACAGGGCCTGGCCCCAGGGAGGCTGGGAAAGGGGAGCAGGTGCTAGGGTCCCGACAGCAAGGAGCACTCACTCTCGGAACCACACATTTGCAGGACCGACCGGTGACAATGAAGGCCTCCCTAAATAAATGTGCAGCCAAGTGCCTTAACCAGCACAGAGCCCATTTCTGAATCAATATTTGCCAAATGAATAAACGATCTGATAATCTAAGTCAAGACTGTCCCTATCTAATATGTCCCATGGGCACAGTAGAGAATCTCAACTCCATAGAGACCTTGGAAGGAGAGAAAGTGGGTGGTTGTGGTTTTGGTGCTGGGGACTGAACCAGGTCTTAACCACCTCACCATCCCAGCCGGTTTTGTCTTTTCCCTTTCCAAGACAGGTTCTAGCTCATTGTCCCAATCTAGCCTTGAACTTTTGGTCCTCCTGCCTCAGCCTCCCAAGTCACTGGGATTACAGATGGACAAACTCGTGCCACCAAAAGCAGCTGGGTCACGGCTTTGAATCCTCCTCCCCCTGCACTCCCTCCTGGTGATCTCTGCCTTGGGGCGAGGTGTGCAGGAGGCACAGTGGGCTGGGGAGGCCCGGAGCTTGATTCTGATAACCTGGCATGCTGGGTGGGGATGGGACACATCCTGCCGGGTTTCCCCAGGAGGGACAAAAGGAGACCGAAGCCAGGGCAGGGTTCGGAAGAGCCCAGGGCTGCGGGTTTATGGAGAATATTAACATCACGGTGGCTGCCCAGAGGAAAGGGTGTAGGGGAGGGACAGGAGAGGAGAGAGGGCAGAAGGACGGGGAGCGGCGAAGGAGGAAATGGGCAGTAGTAAGAGAATAAAGGATGGAGAGGAAGAGAGGAGAGAAAAGACGGAGGAAAGAAAATAGAGAAAGTGGGGCAGGGGACTGAGGGAAAGAGGCACACAAATGTTGTGAGTCTCCAACGGTCCCCAGAACACAGTCCCCTTTGATGAAAGCATTGGTCTGTCTCCAAGCAGAGACCCTCGGGTCTTCTTCCTCTTCCACACCCTGGCCCTCGCCCACTCTCTTTCTTGTAATGAGGTGAGGACCAAGCCCTGCTTCTGTGACCGATGTGCAGCCTTTTGTAACACAAGCACGGGCAGGTGGAGTGTCCCTTGTCCAGAGTGCTTCAGAACAGAAGGCTTCAGATTGGGGACTTCTCCAGATTTTGGAATAGTTGCGTAGCCTTTACCGGTGGAGCATCCCAAATGTAAAATCCAAAATTCTCCAAAATTTGAAAGTTCTGACATCGGTGTCAGTGCTCAAAAAAGGTTCAGAATTTGAAGCATTTGGGATTTGGGATTTTGGGATTAGGGATGCTTGGGCTGTACTAACTACGATGGTTAAGAAACAGCTGGAGAACAGGAGGGGAGGGAAGGGGAAGACGACACGAGGGAATGAGATTGATCAAATTATGTTACTCCCAGCAGCTTGGGAGGCTGAAGCAGGAGGATCATGGGTTCAAAGCCAGCCTTAGCAATGGCAAGGCACTAAGCAACTCAGTGAGACCCTGTCTCTAAATAAAAGACAAAATAGGGCTGGGGATGTGGCTCAGGGGTCAAGGTCCCCGAATTCAATCCCCAGTACCAAAAAAAAAAAATATGTGACAATGAAAAATGAATCCCACTATTATGTAGGATTATAAGCACCAACAAATTTTTTTTTAAAAAGGCAGAAACAACCATAGGGTGTCAGAGACCTCACAGAGAAAGAATGGAACCAATTATACAAAGAATCCATTAGAAGATTGAACTTTCCATTCAGTTCTGGGCCTCCTGACAGCCAAAGCAAAAAGAGAAATATGATGAGTTATAGCATTCTCATTATTCAACACTGATTTATTGACTGTATGCACCATTAAGTTCTCTCCATTCTTGGAAGAATCCAGCCACCTGGAGTACAAGGACCAATCCTCACTTTTGTGACAGGTGTGCCTAACCCTGAAGTGCACCACAAGCTCAGACACCTCTACCTGGAAATAGAGGTAGACCTTCTGTGTCTGCATTGAAGGCTGCAGAGCCAGGGAAGGGGAGATGGGGTGTCAAATGCACTTCCACTGGGGTGACAGTCAGCCCATGCGACCTGGCCAGGGGAAGCACCGCAGCCTTTTCTGCAGACAGCTCTGGCCCCACTTGCCCAGCAAGGGCCCAGGGAGGGGCGGTGGGCCTCCTGCAGGAGCCTGGCTGCTGGCGGTGCTCCCTCCCAGCTGGCTCCGCGGAGTCTGCACAGGCAGAGATTAAGCCTGCTGCAAACCCAGCCAGGAGACGCAAGCCCAGGAGGAGGGGCAGAGGGGCCCAGCGGCTGTTCACCCTCAGCAGGGTGCCAGGACCCTGGGGTGCCCAGCAGCCGTGCCCCCCGGGGCCTCGAGTCTCT